ACCTCACGCCACCCTCCACTCCATCCTACCTGTTCTCTAGGTCTCCCAGGAAACCGTCCCGTCCATTTGTTGTCATACTTGGCTCTCAAGAACGAATTAACCACCTTTCCTGTACAGTTCGGGTCGTACTCATGGTCACACTTAGGGAGGCGGATAGGGTCCAGCTCTATAGGACAGTGTGCACCTACGGATTTCATCGTCTCCATCACTATTACCTCGCCTACGTAAATGTAAGTAAAATATATAAAAATATGAGAATAATATTTCCAAATTTCCCTGGTGTTGCATGTATATCATATATTTTATAAAGACAACACTGGTTACATCGCCATTTCTTTTCTTTTTATTTAGATAACCTGGCTGATTATTTTAAATCACTGACATTTTTAAATCTAAAATTATGTGTACCTTACACCATAATGATACAAATTCCATAAAAGAACATCTTGGCATATGTGAAGCAAGATTCATTCTTTCATCGATAAGGCGAACTTTGCCGAGTCGACCAGACATTACCCGAACCCTGCTGAACTACTCCGAACCTATACGATCTAAGCCGACTTACCAAATATAGGCAACATCACTGTCCTGTTCATATAGGAGGCCAGCCCGCTGCGTCCCTTCATGGCAAGGCTGATGTCCCGGGGGTGTGGCCGATCAGGCCCCGAGTAATCGTAGGAGCTGTCTGCGTATGCGGTTGGGAGTTGGCGGACAAGTGTACTGCCTGCACAAAATTAAAGATAAGATAAAAATTACCATTCAGGAAGCTTTAACTCTACCTCAACCTCAACCTACTCGCATAAGAAGATATATAAGATCTTTATACAACATGAAATGAATTTCAAAGAGAAGTTTATAAAATAGTACAAAATCACATTATTGATTTATTCTCGCCTCTGACATGTAAAACTTCCACACGGTCCTAGAAAACTGGTCTTCAATAAAATCTCCGATTCCTTGAAAATAGTATTAAATAGTATAAAACCCATAAAAACCGTGTCAGAGAAATACCTGGTGCTCCCCACTTAGGGTTGTCCCTGTTGTTATACCAGCCATCGTATCGCTGGAACTCCACCATATCATCCAGTCTGGAAGAGGGCGGGGAAAACCCAGACTCTTTGCCGAGAGAGGTACCCCATAGTAAACAAGCTGGAGTTTTAAGGAATAACATTATTACATTTTGTTCTATTTGCATTATAAAGTAAAAGGACAAACAATGTAATACACGTGGCTTTGTTATTTTTGTTCATTGCAAATATCATGAAAGACTCTTTGGTATTTGTACCACACATAAATCCATCTTGGTGTTCATAGTGTTCACATGCATTTTTAAAGTTTGGTTGCGTGCTTCACAAACAGCATATGTGTTTGAAACTCGACTCTAGAAATCCTGTGGCTCGGAGAGTTTTATTTTAAAAGTTTTGCAAATATGTTGCACGTTCATGATAATTTTACTTTCCCAGTCTACACCGCAAACCGTCCAAAAAGAAAACGAGTCCTCACGAGTAAAGGCATTTATTTCATTTGCTAGATTGAGTGTCACAGTTGTGAGATTTTTTTTCATGCATTTTTGTCTCAGAAAACAGTACACACTCACCTACAAGAACGGCGACTCTTAAAGTATCTGAGGCACCTGTTGCATTGCCCATGTTTACGGTATTTATTCTGATGTATCTATACACTCCCTCCGTGTCTCTCTGTCTTCAGCTCCCGCCTTGTGCCCAATACCTTTTCCTCAACATAGCCAGATATTGAAATCTTTGCTCATGCGCACTCCTCCGCTGCTTGTAACCATGATGTGAACTTCTTTCAACTCAGGTACAGGATACGTTTTCAAACGGTTTATGATGATAGCTCTTCATTGTACCGGTATAGGCCCGTACGCATGCTCAGTGTAGTAAACGGAGCAAACGGAGTAGCATGCCCAAAACTGAATGCTCTTTTTGTGTTCATTACTAGCAGGACAAATGATGTATCCAAGCGAATAGTGCGATAACTGATCACTTACCAATATCCACCAGAATACACTAGAACGCATCATCCCAAAAAATCTTCGCCTTCACTGTTCAGTCTTATGTTTTTATACAAGTTTAAATAACTCTGACTTTCAAAGGAGTTAGACGGAACCTCCCTGGACACGGCCCAACATGAACAGATTTTAAACCAAAAAAAAAAAAAAAACTGGCGCACATCGTTAGGTATGGTCTAAGTCAGCGACCTAACAAAGTTTTTAATAATAGAGGTATTATCTCTGTTTGGTAAATATTTGGTTCCTTTTCCATGGGATGTGGAACAAGAATCAAACGTACCGTGTATCATTAATCAGTACATCGTGGTAATAGTGCATAAGGACCCCTGGTTGGTAGCTCAGCCAATAAGTAACCGTGTGTGTTGGGTTCGAGTGAACAGATTTCTTGTCACTAGTCAGGTACCTTACGGAGTCAATGACCCCACGGTTGGTGCGGATATGATTACCATTACCCAGAAGAGTACTGAAGGACGACCCGCAACGGTATGGCTGCATAGTTTATAAGCTCTGAATCAATTTTTGTCAATTTGGTCTTTCTTGGAGCAATTCTCCTCAGTTTGGGGCATGATTTTGCAACTGCCATACTTTGCTGTCGTATCACAAAACGGCCTCTTGGCTAAATATTGTGCATATATTTGAAAAGTTTATACTTTTTACAGCATGTCCACAAGACGAGTGGCATAGGATATCAAGCACCATGTGGTTTGACCTGTTCCGTACCAACAGAGGTCTGGCACTGTACTCTCCCCAGTTCACGCCGGTGACCGGGGACATAGAGTTACACGGGGTGGTCTCCCTTGGCGTCCTGCTGGTGACGGTGTTCGTGTTGGCGGCGGCTGGGATATCCTACGGAGAGGTAGGTGCCGTAGGGCTCGAATACAATTAACTGAAATCTATGGGTTTTTTTTTAACCAAAAAGATTAGATTTTGCTGTCAGGGTTTTGTTTTTTTCTTTTAATTAAAATTTCCATCGATCGATAAGTGATTAATTTGAATGTCAAAAAATGAATATAAATAAATAAATAAATAAATAAATGAATAAATAAATAAATGAATCCAGGTACTGAAAGAAAATCGCTCGGTTTTGAATGATTTATTAAAATCTACACAACAGTGAGGTATCAGTGCCATTTCAGCGGACGAACACTGCCTTGAAGGTTTTATTTGGCATCGGAGTCATAACGTCAATACTGGGTGAGTAAGGGAATGAAATGCAAAGTCCAGGTGACTTAGCTGAGATAATATTAGTGGTCATCTCTTAGAGACATCTTTAAAAATCATTA